TATCTATCACATCTGTTATTATATTTGGTGCAGATCGATATGATAAATCGTTATATCAATATTTTTGCTTTGTTATGAATGCGTGTTCTTGCCTCTACATACATGGTCGTTTTTGCGAGTCTGTATTTGTAGACACTTCAAATTTTTCCAACAGGCCCGATCTTTCAAGCATGTGGGGGTCTACTTTCGACGACCAGGATGAGGATGACAAAAGTGTGGCTGTTATGAAAAGGCAATTCCTCGAGGAACCTGCCATAAGCAACTTCACATTCCCGCAACCGCCGCTAGGTATTCAGGTAAGTAAAACTTGACTCATGATCTTGTAAACGAGATTGCATCACTATGAGTGAACTTGTAGAATTTTGGTTATTCGTTTGATTGTTTTCAGGCTAAAGATTTTGTATCTGCCCATTTTGGAAAAGATGCCAAGAACATGCAATTCCGTCGGGGTACGACAACGCTTGCTTTCGTTTATGAACCGGCAACCGCCAATGACCAGGGTGGTATCGTAGTCGCCGTAGACTCACGAGCATCCTCTGGAGAGTACATCTGTGAGTAATTCACTTTTTGTTTGTTGCTGTATTATCAGACCGAGCTCCTCGTTGTAGCTTCCAAATCCGTGATGAAAATTCTGGACATCGGAGATCATATGGTTGCCACCATGGCTGGAGGAGCTGCTGATTGCCAATTCTGGACAAGAACTGTAGCAAAATATTGCAAGTATGTTTCGAACAAACCCGATATGTTTCATCGTATTTACATCGTCATTCAGCTTATTCGAGCTACGAGAGAAGACGCAGATTACCGTAGCCGCAGCTAGCAAGTACTTTGCTAATGTTCTTTACAATTATCGCGGAATGGGACTCTCTGTGGTGAGTCAAGTTTCGGTGACTGTATTTATTTTGTCGTCTGCTCGCTACGATGTGCACGTTTAGAACTTGGTAGCATATGTCGCGCAGATTTTCAGTATTTCTAGCATGCATATATATTTTATTTAGGGTTCCATGATTGCTGGATATGACAAGAGAGGCCCACAAATTTTCAAGGTGAGATTTTTTTACTGCTTTTCATTTGTTTTATTGATTCCATTCTATGTTTCTGCATGTTCCTTGCCCTATGCTTTTGAAATTGAGAAAATGTAGGAGCCACTTTGAGATATAAAAACGACCAAGCATTTACAATGTTGATATATCATCACGGGTTAGCTAGTTG